CTAGATGATCTTCTCAGGTCCCTTTCGACCCTAGAAACTGTGAAACTTACTGTTGCTTCCTGAAACTCTGTTAGCTCAAATGTTGTGGTTTTAAAGGCCCCAGTGCTTGCCAGTGATCTTGGTGAAGGGTTGGTATGGTTCTCCACTGTAAAGGTACTTTGTTCTATGTATTTTGAAAACTTTAGAAAGTATATTAAAGTAAGTGAAGGCAGGAACATAAAGCACTCAAAGCTAGGAAATGCCAGGATTGTGTTCTTCCCACCTTAATCTAGTACCCCCTCTCCTCTCTTTTATGCCCACAAAAACTAGTATGCAATCACTGAAGCCTGTGATTACATACCATTTCTTGCACAGGACACTTTTGCCTTGGCACATGGGATGGCAAGTGCTCTGGGGGAGAAATCGGGTGAAGGAAGTTGTTTTCTGAGGACTCTGGATATAGCACAAGGTACACCCACTTGTTCTAGAACTAAAAAGCAAGCAGTGCATAAGGCAAGTGAATGCAGTGTCATGGTTAGCTTAACTGAATGCTGCCCAGGAGACAGGGCTGTCCCTGGTGGTGGTGGGGGGGGTGCAAATCAGGGCAACTTCCCTGGGCCCTGTGCTTCGACATCAGGGTGCCAGGTGCAACTTTGCATGTACCCATTAGAAAAGAAGATTTACCTAGAACTGGCTGCAAATGGCGGAGCCAGCGTGGCATGCAGTGTCCACACCACGATTTAAAAGCCAGCTATCTATCAAGCTGAGTAGTGCTGGGCTGATGACATCAGCCACTGGCACTGCCATGAGAAAAATAAAAGGCACTCATTTAGCGTGCCAGTAACTGTGATGAAGAAAATGAGGCAGGCTTGAAACCCCGTGACAGGGAGGCGCCCAGGCTGTGAGAGCCCAGCTGACCGGGAGCTTGGAAGGCTCCAGCTCACTGGCTGGAGGGACAAGCTAGTGTCCGCTCCCTGGGTTTAACTCCTGGAACGCCGAGGGAGTGCTTGAGAGTCCAAGAGGGACACTGGACCCAGGGGAACCAACGCCAGCTGCATCCGAAACCATAAGTACTTGTAAGTGGAGCCCCCTGTTCCCATCATGTCAAGAAAGTTGTGGCAAGCTTTTTGAGGGGAGGGCCCGCTCTCACTTGGAGGGGGACCCAGAACAGAAAGATCACCACAGTCCACCCTGAGTTTGCCCCCGCCCCCTTGGAAGAGCCTGGCCCCAGCCCACAGTGGCACCCTAACCTGCTCCGTGCAGTTCTGGGGGCATGTGCCTCCTGTGCCTCCCAGGGTGCACGTTCCACCAAGAGCTGCTGGGGGCTGGCGTGCCCCCTGCCCCTTCTCCCTGCCCCCACCAGCCTTAGCTCCACTCCCTCCCCACTGTCAGTTTAAGTAAGGCAAAAAGATCAGTTTGGTCCTGTTGTTATATACAGTAGGCTATATACAGGGCTACGGCCCTGTCAGTAACATACAATGGCTAGCACTAGCAGGGACAGCGACAAATGGAGAAAACATTGCTCAGGTGCGGAAAAAAGGCAGGAAAAAAAAATGAGAGAAGAAATGGCTAAGGCACTGAAAGATTCGCTGGAAAATGTTATGGTTTCTAAAAGTTTCGTAGTTTCAAAGTTTCATAGTTGGTAGGGTTGGAAGGGACCTGAGCAGATCATCAAGTCCA